AAATCAATTGAAAAAAAAGCCCACTTGAAAAGAGAAAGTGAGACAGGGAGGGTAGGAAGGAGAGCAGACCAGGCAGACCAAGTAGGCAGCACTGCTACAATCTAGACCACAACGTGCCAGCGAGGCAGCAGCTGTGGGAAAACCCCACGGCCAGGCGCCCTGGCTCTGCACCGGCGAGTTACCGCTCCGGGTGGGAGCCCTGCTTAGCCAGGGCATGGCACACCATCCAACACCACACTTTGACTGGTAGCAACCAGGCACCGTATCAAGTGCATCACACATGTCAACAGAGCCGATGTGCTCAGGGCCTGAAAGCAGGTGTCCCTGCTGCCACTGTCACCCAGGACTAGGTCCTCTGCTTGGCTCACAGTAACGGGGCTGAGCGGCTGGGTGACCCCATCCGTGACAATGAAGTTGGGCTGTTGCTATGGTCTCTCTGGAGCTGCTCCATGAAAGCTCAGTCCTAGAAAGTGCCATATGAAGCAGAAATAATTAGCAGACCTGCATGAACAGGGGTTCCCAGCCAGCAAGGAGAGAAATGCAATAATAAAGACCAGCTTGACCCAAAAGAGTATTGCAGACATACGGCTGAGCTCTGCAAATCACTAAGTGTGAATTCTCTCCCCTTGCTCAGCAGCCTAGCTGCTGCAACCCCTGGCAGCAGGCGTGAGACAACACTTGGCCAGAGAAGAGCTAGCGCTGCCTTTATCCAGAAATAACCATCACTCCAATACCTACACAACAATTCCCTCTCCTTGCTGCAAAACAGGGAGAAGTAGCAATTTGGTGCCAAGAAAAGAAATATCATAGACACCAGGTTTTTCTCTTTGAATAAGCAGGAGAGAGGGACACGGGGAATTTTCACCTGTTAGCATGGCTTTACAAAGCAGCCTTTCAAAGGAGAGCAAGCATCACTTAGAGATGCTGGATAGGCTGGAGTCCCAGAAAGAGATGCAGCAGGGACTTAGGCAAAGGCTGTTTGGTGCTGCAGTAGAGGGAGGAGTCCATGTTTCTCCATACCATTGCAGCTGCCTTGCAGGGGCGACTGATCTACAACGAGAGGGACTCTGACCACAGGAAGGTTCACCAGTCGCACTTCTGACTGCTTTAAAGGGAGAGGACAAAATCACTTTTGGCTTGGATCCAGGCTTGCCTCGTCACTGCTGCTGCTTACTTTCACAGCTATCCATTATCATCTTGCTATTTTGACTTTGCTCAACACGCCAGCAACATGGGTCCTCGCATGTTGTGGTTTCTATGGTTTTGCATACAAACAGATAGCTGGGACTAATTCTGAGTCAGGGCTTCTTGCCTCCCGCCGCTCTCTGCTTGCAGCTGGCTGGAAATTATGTAACGGCTTCGCTTCTGGTCTTAAGACAGAGAAGCTCCCATCAGATTAAATGAGGAAATACAGTCCACTCACCACCCCTCACCCACGAGCTCTGCCAGTGCAGGCAGTGGGCGTCAGGCTGGAGAGGTATCAACTCCGGGCACCTAACTTTCTGCATTTGCAGCACGTGGGTGCTGGGAGGAGTTGCAGTGCCTGGGAAGGGATCAGGTCTCTCCGCCTCGGGAGGAGACAGTTTGGAGTTAATATACATAAACCAGTCAGTTCTGCTAAAGTGGTTAGCTGTGAAATAGCTAGCAGTTCCATTTTCCCCCATGAGTTTCAAGATTAACAAGCCCCCAGAGAGTGAAAAGAAACAGATCATCCTTTCCAAAGGTTTTGTTTCAGGCTGTTTGCAGAATCAGGAAGATAATGCATCAATTTATCAATACTCACTAGTTTTAGGTTTCAGAAATCTTCTCCACAACCACAAGGGTAAGACAGCATGAAGATGAAGGGAGGTTATCTGAAAAATCTTACAGCTGTCCCAGAGAAGTCTCAATCGCCAATGTACTCTGTTCTCCCAAATCCCAGCCTCTTACCTTCCATGGTCATAGGATTCCTCCCTGTCGCAGTTCAGCTCACCACCAGAAAACTAACCCAGCAGTGAGAGCAGACGGTGCCTTGCTGGGTTTCTGAGCAGAGGGATGGGAACAAAGTGCCCTTTTTCAGCAGCAGGAAGCTATCGGATCAGTTCATGGGCAAGTCAATACTGCAAAACCTGGAGTGTGAAGCATTGCTTTAAGGCGGATCTGCAGCAAATATTACAAGTCCCAGCTATCTGGCATTTACACTCCAATCCAAGGAGATGGCTTGTGTATATAATAGGGTTGCTAAAGCAGCCCAGAACTCTTAAAACAATGGAAAATGTGATTTAAAAAATTATCTTAGTGGCTCCTGTTGCAAGTGCTGTGGCATAAGAAATGGAAAACATTTAAGTCAATTTATCACATCCAACTATTACATGATCCAGTGAGTTGCTCTAATTGCTGCTTGGATATTTAAAACTGCCTGGTTACACATGAGAGCAGATCCTTCAGGGTCCGTTTCAATCTTAGAGAACAGTAAGCCTGGTTCTTGGGATAGCTTTTAAGTGGGCTTTAACAAATGGAGGAGGAAGTCTCTGCCACAAGATGCACTTCCATGCCACTCCCCCACGGGTGATCCACTCCCACCATCTCCCCCAAGTCAGAGATGGTAAGCGTAAGTCAAAGGAAGTAGCTGAAAACTCTATTTTTTATTTCAAGGTTATTTTGCAGCCAGATCAGCAGCCTGATTCAACTCTGCTCACTTTGGTGGCAGCAGTATTGCCTTAAATCAGCTGGCATAAGCAGTGAAACTGGACCCACAGACAAATGAAATAATGTTGTCAGCCCTTCTTTGGCACATGAATAGTCTTTCCCCACTCCACAGCCCAAGGATTTTTGAGTAAAGACATTCAGGAGGGAGTGGTACCTTTTATCACCGCCATGCGCTGTCAGTGTAGAATCAGAAATAAGCATGCATCTTATCTCACAGCGGGGAAAAAAAAAGCTTATTTCCTACACTAACCTTTGTCTCACAGTTTGTCTCATGGCTTGCCAGCACCAAGAGTTTTACTTCATGCTAAGTCGGATGGGTGCCAAGTTACTCCCTTTAACACTGAACAAAAAAAAATCCCGGAAATTAAATTTGAGTCCCAGAGGCTTCAGTGGGAGAACAGCAGCTGCAGTACATATATGCTGAGGTATTTGCACATGTGTGAACAAACTCACAGAAAAACAAACTCAGAGGTGAGTGCAGCCAAGCCCTTGCACTGCACGCTCTCCGAGGCAAAGGCCACCACCCTCTCGGCGCTACTGCAGTGCTGAGTACCTACACTGCGGTAGAAGTAGTAGGTAGGACCTACACTGCGGTCACTGTGGCTGAAGTAGTACAGCCCTGCCATTAGGGTGAAAGAGCACAGTTTTTGCTCCTGCTTTTGCAGAAAACAGTGCTGGTGATCAGATCCTTCTCCCAGAACAAGATCTGCCCTCCGCTTGATACGAGGGATGCAACACAGATATCCCAGCCTCCAGCAGTCTAAGCAGTCTCTTCAGTCATCAGCTCTACTCGAAGAGATCTAAGGAGTCTCAGCGAATGCCACTAGCCCCAGTGTGACTGCGACAAGCTTGAGGTTTACACATCCAAACCCCAGTACTGGGAGCCATCTGGTCCCCAGCAGTCATCGGCTCCTCTTGCGCAGAGACACGATGCAGCTGTGTCTCACTCACTGCTGGAACTCACCCAGGCCTCTCTCAGTATACCAGATAACAGTCATACGTCAGCACCTCACGTACTCCGGACCGTGCCCAGCTCCATGTTCCATTCAGGCTTACGGGTGCATGATGTTGCCTCTGGACATTTTCTGCTTATTCCAGCCTCGCACACCATGCCCAACACTGTACCTGGGTACTGATGAAGACCTTTCAAATCTTAGTTCGTCACCTATATTTAGTTGCAAACTTTCATTTGCCTGTTTTTAAATTAGCAGGAGCAGATTTCCACTTAAGCCAGGCACTTTGCGCTACAGGCTCACAGCCTTTCTGCCGGGCTGCCACCAGACCCCACTCTTGGTCTACAGAATGTCCCACCATTCGGCACCAACAGCTGCCTCTTTCCAGTAAGGGAGTTGTGCAGATAAGTTCTAAAGAAATTAAACGTAACTACCCCTGGGGCAGGAGATTGCTTCTCACTTGATAGCACAGCGTGGGGGATTTTTTAAGTCATGTAATCTAATACTGATAGGAAACAACACTAGTCTTCTTTTTCCTCTTTCTAAGCTGTTAGTACAGTACGCAGAAGTATTAGCCACTTCAGAAAGGATGAAAATCTCTTTCGCATGCGCTCTCTCTCTAAGGGAAGAAATCCCCCTTGTTTTCAGTAGCTTCCTCCTTTTTTTAATCAACCGTACACTGAACAACTTAGAACACTGAAAGCCATCACTGCTCTCTGAAAATCACCAAACAAACTTTCATGTGGTTACATTTGAACCACTGTCTACCTGGACAGTATCAGTAAAAGGCAGTAACATCTACTAATGTTTGTGATTGATCAGGTCTTCCCTCATCCTTCGTCTTTTGCTTTTTCACCAGCTGCATTTATATTTGTGGGACCGAAAGACAAACAGTACCCAGGTTGATTCCCTGCTGATACGTACTTCCTTCTCTGCACACACACACCCCCAGACAGACAGCCGTTATCTTTTTCTCTTCCCCTTTCTTGGCCCCTGTTGCAGTAAACCTACTCCTGAGTTCTCTATACTAGAGAAATAGAGTGAAAAATACTATGAAAAGGTATCCCATCTTCTTTAAAAAGTTCAAGTTAATTCCTTCTTGACCTTGGCAGGCTACTAGCAGCCTTTCTTAAGTGCAAAGGAAAATTATCCTTAATTTAGCACATACACCCATAAATATGATTACTCCCAAGGCTATATGGCCCACATTGAAAAAGTCCAGTACCTCCATATCTTCTGTAGCAAAACAAAAATGAAACTTGTAGGCTACAGGCATGTAAAAAAGGGTCTTAATATTTTTATAAGCTAAAAAGCTAAAGACAACAAATGTCAAAAGAAAGCAGGCAAATCATGTAATACCTGAAAGTAATCTGTGATGAAGGATCCAAGTTCACTCTTCAGCAGCCGCCTGTAGACAGAAGGAATGCATCCATGAAGTAACAGCCATTTCTGGACATTTCTTACAGGTATATCCTCACTTTACTACCAGTCATACCAAAGATATGTGAGTATATGTGAATGTGTCATTTTGGCCACAGTTAGATTTCTTTTACATGAATGTATATATTCCACAAATGCCCACAAAGGCTATTCTTAAATTACGAAGGAATGAAACAGTTTCCCTGAAATTTTCTATTTATAAGCCATACACCTAGAACAAGCCAAAAAAAAAACCCAAAACAAAAACAAACCACACTGTCTCTCCTGAATGCACAGAAAGTTGGGGAGACAATTTATTTAGTTTGAAATTAACCATTTTTTCTGCTTTTTCTTTAAACGAAGATGCCTTTCATTTCACTGATAATAGCGTATCTCCCTAAGGCTATACTTCCTTTTCTCTTGAAAGTAGAAGGTAGAAGGATAAGGAGAGGAGCAATGAACACACAAGCAGAAGCTGTGGCTTCCCCATGACTATAGCATTAAAAAAAACCCACGTACTTTTTAAGAAAGAAATTCTAGAAATTTAACAAGAGGTATTTTAAACACATGCAAGCAGACGACACTCAAAACAAGTATTTCTGAATAAAACCACCACTTTTTCCTAATCTTTGCTGAAATTTGATTTTGACAGCAACCTTCCTCCCTACCCATTTTGTAATACTTCTACATTTATTCGCACACCAGCATGCCTTTACTCTTTCTCTCTCAGAGTGCTTATATTCACCCCGCCCATCTCAAAGCACATTTTTATTTCTACGAGATGGGTAAACCAGGTAAGTCTTTGGGGGCTTATTTGCCAGCAGCTCTTCCGCCAGCTGATTGACAAGCCCACAGCAGGACTTTGCCTCATGCAGGTAGACCAGCAACCAGAGGCTTGCACCCTAGTGAGAACCCAAGGGAGGGGTCTCCTAATCATGGCCAGGTTACCTCCTGCTTCCTGAAATCCCATCTCCCAATGGCATTTCTTACATTTCTTCTTGCTGTGACAACTGACTTTCACAGCATTAAAAAAAAAAAAAAAGTAGCCAGTGAGATAATATCAAATTACAGCAAGATAAAAACTTGGTGGCAGCAATCCAGAGCAAAATGTTACCACCTGCTCTTCTCCTGGTCCTGTCGTTACTGTCCTACTTTAAAACTCTCCTGCATTTTCCATGCGCAAATAACTAAGTGCTGTGCAGGATCTGTGAGTCTCTTAAAGCACTGCGTTTGCAAACTTCCACCGAGGAGCTGAATGGAGAACTGCAAGCAAGGAAAATGCACCAGCTCGACCTACCGGCACACAAGAGTTGGCTGTCTGACAGGTCTGGCTTTTTGCCCAGTGTCAGGCTAGAGATTCACCTCACGCATGCAGAGATAACATTTTGTTGGGAGCTACACCAAGAGTCACAAGTGTGAGGCTGCAGGTGCGCGTACAAACACAGATGCAGATGCATGTCCTATGCTCCTTAGGCGGACATAAATGAGCTGCTTGAATGTTAAAGTGGCCTATTTAGAGAATGACATTTGGAGATGTAATCAATGCTCAGGGCACCTGCAGGAACATTAATCATATATTTCAAGGTGAGTGCTTCCAAGTACTGCCCGGGAGTCCCTGTCCACGGAAGAGGGCATTCCCCCTCCCACCATCAGGACTGCTTACAAAGCATACACATTTCACAAAGAATTTCCTGTTCTTCGCCCAGCTCTTGACAGTCTAGATCCACTTCAGTAACCAACATGAAGAGAGCATGATCTAGCCTCTGGGGCCAAGCCCGGGCAGCACAGCAATTCTGCTCGGCGTGCTGCCTCCCCGCAAGGGTGGGAAGGAGTGCCTGCTCGGACGGGGCAGGGAAAGCAGGCTGCAGCCACCGCAGCGGGCAGCAGCCTGGCAGACAAGTCACAAAAACCAAAGCTGGTCCCCAAGTCTGCCAACAGGCTGTGGGTTTGAGTATTTCCAAAGTCTTACGACATTTGTTTTTCTTTTCACGTACAGAAATACTCATCCCATGGAGAATTAAGACTGCTCCAAGTACTTAAACCTGAGTTGAGGACTTCTAACCTAAACTTCTAACCTGAGCACACTAAAACACCATTAAAGCATGAGACACTGCCCTCACGCAGCTCTCAAAAGGAATTACATTAAACTTTCTCCTTTAGGACCAGATCAAATAGGACAGTCTTGTGCCCTGCAAGCTGCATTTATTTTCAAAGTAGGGAAGTGGGTAGTTTGGACTGCTGCTTAGTACGTGCTTAGCCCGAATTGCTGTTTGAACCTTGGCGCTCAGGAAAAATGCAATAGTGATGGGGACCGGGGCATATAAAAGGGGAAGTGGAGACCTGTATGGCAGCATCCATGATGGATGAATATGGATGTAGTGGGAAAGAGAGAGGAAGGAGTAACTACATCCATGAGCTCAGACAATAATCCTCTTAGCAGCACTTGGAACCAAGGCAAGAATAAATTGTTCTTTATCTGCACTACAGTCCTATCTACTAATAACCAAACTTTCCAAATAATCAGAATAAAACCACAGATAATCATGAAACCTGCTAAAAAAGAAATGATACTTTTAATCATCACTAGCATCAGTACTAGAAAATGTTTGTTAGGCTTTTAGTTTTTTATCTTCAGGGTTCATATTTTCAGGTCTTGCTCTGCAATTATCATGTGAAGATTAAGCTTTTAAATGAAATGCTGTGTTTTTCTTTCATTTTAAACACTCCATGGTTCTGAGAGGCTTGGGTTTAGAAAAGAGATGTTACTACCATCACAAATGCCCTGATAAAAATGTGTAAAAAACAGCCAGAAGAGGCAAACTGCCTAGGAGGGGACAAAATCCTTATAATCCAAGTCAATACACGTCCTGTCTTTGCCAAAGCTTCACATCCACACAAGTCAGAGAAGTTATTCAAGTGCCCCATGCCATTCACTCCACCCAAGAGCAAAAAATAATTCAGTTAGCCTGAAACCCCAAAGCTGTGCTTAAATTTGCTTTGATCCCTGCTCCTCCCACCAATATCCTCTAACTGTGGTTCTGCAGGAGAAGAAAACAAAGCAAACACCAAACAAGCAGCAACAAAAATCCTTTTGCATGCATTTCAGCAACCTACCTGATATTTTCATTGAGGGTGTAAAGTTCATTGTTCTGCAAGCCTCCCCCTTTGAACACATTTATCACTGCTGTTTGAACACTGCCAAAGAAGAAATAAGACAGTGTAACATCCATAAATAACAGCCACCAGTACGATTTAACACAGAGCACAATGTGAGCTAGCCACCAAAACCTGAGTGGTTATAATGGGGTGGAAGAGGTTAATTGCACTTAAATACTTCCACTCTTTCTCCCCTGGAAATCATCACTTATTTACATACATCTCTCATGGGAGACAGAGCAGAACCAACCTCAAGCTGTGCCTACAGCAAGCAAAGGAAAGTTGTTACAGGGACTGTTCACAAAGAACACGTTCACAACAGATATGTTTTTAACGTGACTGTTTAGGGGATCTCTGCTGTGTGCTACAGGCTAGATGCTATGAGGATACACAGATTTTTATCAATATCTGCCAAACACATCACATCATTGCATTATCCAGTGATGCTCGCAGGAACCACCCAACCTGCAGTGTCTGGTAGGACCCTGGCTGTGCTGGAAGATGTTCTGCAGCCACCATCACCTCAGTCACAACTTTAAGCCCTGTTAATGCTTGTGAGATGCTATTGGAGGATCTTCTAACTCATACTTCTCTAACCAGCACAGAGGAAGTCATGAAGTGACAGCATACAAGATGGTTTAGCAGGTCTAAAGGCTTGCCATGACTAACGAGAGGAGGTGTCCTTCTCTTAATGGGCATTCCCTTCTGTGGGCCAGCTATGGCATTTGCACGCTTCATAGACCTCAGCTCGCTATCCTGGCACAAAACTGCAATGTTTTTGCTGGGCTGCTCTTTGTGCAACCTTAGAGGCTGAGCTAGGTCAGCAAAAGAGAGGGGCCTGTGGAATGCAGAGCTGGTGCAAGGTGGCAGAAGGAAACATGGGAACACCCACGTTTGGTAGCAGCAGATCATTAGATCAGATCAGGACATCTCACTCTTCATGCTACATATTGTTTTTCCAGTTGCCATTGCAAGATTTGGTTGTCAATAGGAAATGCTAATAGAAGCCACAAGTTTAGTAGTTGTCAGAGGAACTTGACTGTGGTAAAAGCTTCATAATATGCAAATAAATGCCTGCTGTGTATTAAGAAACTGGTGTTTATTACATTACTAGGAATGTGTTTTCCTAAACAATTCTTAAAAATGCAACCATTAACAAAGAGCAATTCTGTTTTACTTCAAGCCGGTACCTCTGAATGTTGGCCAAAACCAAGGCTGAACATCAGTAGGTCTAATTTTGTCACCTCCACAGGGTCTGTCAATGCCAGCAAAGCCTGGGCATGCCAAAAAGTCATGCATGCTAATAAACAGATGAGCTTAGCCATAAATGGTCTGAAGCACAAAGATCAGGCATGCACAGCCCTTATCACAGGGCTGCTGCAGAGCAACGACTTAGCCTATGCAGGTCCTGCTCACCTGTTCCAGGCAGAGTTGGAGCTGAGCTGCAGAGCCTGCCGGGCTGCCTGGAACCGCGGCAGGTCACTGAGGACTGGGGAGCTCATGAAGCGAGGTCGGGGCCTTCTGAACGAACCCATCTTGTGAAACTGGAGAGCAAAGGATGGAGCTATGGTGAACCCTCCAGTCATAGGGTCAGGTGGAGTGGAGCAGAGCTATCAGAAAGTCTGTTCTCTTGAAGGTCCAATCATCAATCTCAGTGATGTCAATGAGTCTTCAAATGCAAGACTTCAAACTTCAACCTGCAGCAAAAGCAAAGAGTCAGCCTTGGGCTAGCAGTTCCCCACAGTGTCAGGTTGTACATGGACACGCACTGCAAGACGATGAAGGAATTGAAGCAGTCCTGCAAAGTGAGGAGAAAGGAAAAGAGCAAGACAGAGAAGGAAGGGGTGAAAATATCCTATCCCATTAACAATAAATCTGGGGAAATCTTCCAGAGCTCTTCAACAGCAGCCCCCTTTCCCGTCTTGCCCCTTAAATAATGACCAAACACAACCAGGCAGAAATACAAGCATGGTGTCTCTTTCTGTTTCAGTTAGCAGAGATGGAGGAACAGAGGTGCCTAAACTCTTCTGCCAGAGGCACTTTACAAATATCTTTAAATACAGTTAGCCAGTCAGCCTGTATAAAACAGTAGAAAGTGGAGAAGTAGAAAAGAAAACTATTTCACCAGAAAGGAACAAAGATGAACAATGGAAGAAAAGATGAACAGACAAACACAATGCTTTATTTTTTTTTTTTTGAGAAGTGTTGTGCAAGGGAATAAACCCACTTGTTACCAGTCCATTACAAAAAGGATACAATAAGGAACTTCTGCAAAAGAGGTCTGACAACCAGATATTTTGAGAGTAAACAGGACTTTTATGTTTCTTTTGTTTTCTATAGCACTAGAAGTAACTGCTAGGCCAAATAGAAATGCCTGTATTTTCCCCTCTGATCATCATCTCCATATAGATGAATATATAGCCCCAAGTAAACCACAGAAACAGAAGTAGTTAGCTTGGATAAAAACCACAAAAAAAAACTTTGGCAAAGCTTCTGTACTTTGAAATCTTCCCACTTCAGATGAAAACAAGCAGTAGATGTAGTTGGCAGTTTGGACAATGGAGATGTGGGAGAAAGGAGAGAGGAGGATATAAACTAAACAAAAAAGTTGTGTAACTGAAATGCACATAGAAGATGTAAAGCAAAATCTTCTCTTTTCCACTACATTTTCAGCATGAGGTGAAAAGAGAGATGATCAGCCAAAGAAATGTTGTGTATCTGCACAATGCTTCTAATTTGACTAGTGCTTATCTTCAGGAAACTCTTTCCACTCCCCAAACCATAACTAACTCTTTTACATGTAAGAGAACAGCTTTCTTCCCGCTTGGCCAGCCCCATTTCACATTGAGCTCACTTTGCTACCCTGCCTCTGCATCACCTTGCTGAATTCTGATCAACCATTGTGAAGCCCTCGCACGCCCTTGCTGCGCCACAGACACCATGCACCCTGCTGCCGAGGAAGTTAAATGAGAAAAAACAGAGAAAACACCTCATTTTTTAGACACTGAAACATGTGGTACTATCATTCGTGGTGCTACTCAAGAAATAACTACGGTTGTTATTCCCCCACAAGCTAAATATAGTTTGCACAGATCTTTGTGGAACTGGAACATGGCTACAAGTGCAACTTTATTCTGTCTTTAGACAACTCTTGGCTGTTTTTAGAGATGACAAAGCCCAGACAGTCTTTCATGACACAAGCTTAGCCTTAAAGGGCAGCAAACTGTTGATTCTGTGGCTGCTCTGTTCCAATTTAAAAAAAAAAGTCATAACTTTCACAAATTAAGAATAAAGGTAAACTAATATAACCAAATCAGAAGGGTCTTCTGTGTGCATTTTGAAATAACAGTTCATTTGACATTGCCCACACATTTTCAATCTGCCAGCAATTTCTCTATTGGCAACTATAACCACATCAGTAATCATCAGAGGAAAACAGCTTACAGTACCTTGGAGAGCCGAGGGCAGGTTTTTCTCACAACATACCAAAAGGTGTCAGGGAGGCAAAGCTAAGTGTAATGGATGATTCTGTTGCAAAAGAAGTGCTTGTGCCAGTGTTTGTGGTCTCCAAGTTCCAAAGCTGACAGCATAAGGAGCTGAATGAGTGACAGCTCACTTCTCCCAGCAGTGCAGTAAAATTTCTAGCTTAACAATTTTTACACAGGGAGAACGGCATATACTTTTCAGAGCTATAAAATGCAATACAGGTGTTACTTTAGGTCAGTTGTATGCATTTAACATGAAGAGAAAGCATTGGTTAAGATGCCTGTGCTAGCTCACAAGTGTCCTTTTATCACAATTCCAGGTGCCGTAAGTGTATACAAGTATCTCTCTCCCTAGTAATGAAGTAATTTTATAAAGCTGCATTTATATTAATATGAATTAGATTAAGTTGCAAGGGGAAAGCTTAAATTCAGAAATGTAAATCGGGAGAACAACCTCTGTGCCTTAGAATACATATATTTAAACTTTGTGTAGGAAATTCTTTGGCCCGTTCTGTGCAAGCGGTAAAATAACACAATCAGGAAGGTCTCACCTGAGCATGGGCTATGGATTTACACAAGGCTGATTCCACAGCAGCAGAACCATGACATTACACAGGGCCCCACGACAAATTTCCTGAATGCTTCTTACCCAGGGAATGTGATTGTTTCTTCTCATGGAAACATTATCTTTTTTTTTTTCCTTAATCTCTGTTGAAGTCACCTGGACAGATAATAACAAGCTCTGCCAACCCCAGTCTGCAATCCCATGTTACTGTCAAATCAACATTACATTGGGTTCTCATCAGGAATTTAAGTCAAGATCTTCAACTTTAAGACCAAATTTGGAGTCTTCTTTTCATTTCGTCAGGATTCAAAGATACAAATCTCTCCTATCTTATCTAAACTGGTAACTGTTAAATAGCAGGCACAGCAAACTGCAATTCTGAAGGCAGGCCAGTCACTAATGGTATCCAAACATAACTGACCCTCATGTTATCAGAACTGGAAATGACCAAGTCTGTGAGAAGGACCATCTTCTCCCCAGGCCCACAGCCTTTCTAAACTATATCCAGTTTCATAAAGCTTGAAGTAAGAGAGCATTTACTAGAAAGCAGACTTTTGGCACAAGTAGTTTGCACATCCTGCGCACCTGAAGGTACAACAAAGCACCCAAACCCAGCCAAACACTTCATCAGGCCAGGTTTTCCTTTCACAGCAGCTAGTTTGCACTAAAAGTTTTCCCCAGAGCAAGGTAGCCTTGTAAATATTGCTTCATTTTCGCAGGGAAGTTGCATTAGTAGTTTGTTGGCAATGATGTCCGTGGTGTGCATTCTGCAGTGTGCAATTTTTTGGCTTTTTACTAGGAGAAACTACCCTTGTGGCAAGAAAGGCATTAACATAGTTATAGGTTAGTAAGAAACCCTCATAGTATTCAGGCTATTTTAGTTATTGAGAATGAACAGTATTTAGCAAAATGCTGAGGACAGCAAGGAACAATTTTCCTCTTCAGTTTGCCATGAAAACTCTCACAGAATTATGCAGATATTTTCAGAAACAGATATTGTCCTTCTAGAGACCTTCAGTCCAAACTCCCTCACATCTACAGTTTCCTCTTTCTAAGATTAAAGTGTTTTAAAAGACTACAAAATAAAGCCTACTTCTAAGAACCATAGTCCTATTATTTATCAAGCACGGAACTAGAAAATGCATTACAGAGAGGCAATTATTATTTTTCTGCTTTTATACAGAGAGCAGGGAGACACCAGGGTGCAGCATGTTCTAGCCACCAAGCAACACTCCCAGCATTGATTATAAAAGGCACAGAGACCTGGAGACTGAAGTGCAGCGGCTGCATAAGAAATACAGCCGTACCAAGATATTTCACTGCTGGGGCAACTCTTTACATGGCATCAGGGCATGTCAGACTGCCTGACAGCTGATATATCCTAAAACATTCCCCACTTTCTTCTTCTCGCTTAATGACTCTGCACATCTTTTTTGGCAAGAAGCTTGTCATAAGTAAGTCAGAGACAGGTTATTGCTCTTCCTTCTCTTCCAGATGTCCTACCCCCTGGTCTTTTTTTCATTTATCCTTGATTATCATCTCAAAACCCAGCTATCAAAACCCTCTAGATCTCTAACAAGTGAGATATGTCATCTCTGTAAAACCCAAGTCTTTGAGTAAGAAAATGGAAGCTCTAAAGAGCTGGAAGTCAATGTTCTCAATGCGGGGAGCAAAGCAGGATGAGTCAATCTGAAAACAATATAATTTCATCCACTTGTAATTCATCACATCTGTGTAAACACTTTTAGGATTAATCTGACTATTTAAACAGAAGAGTCAAGCATGGAGACAAATCCTTTTCCAACACGCACAGACACAGGCATTTATAAAAACATTACAGTCACCAAGCTAAGAATTTTTTATCATTTATTTTCTGTTAGCCATGAAAACCAACAGAGAAATCATTATAAAATGATTTAATGAAAAGACTTTTTCTCCCAACAGAACATAATACACCTGACTGTCTGGAGGAAAAGCAAGATCAGGCGATATACCTAGATCTCGCTCTCTATTGAAGAAAGAATAACCCAAAGAAAAAGTTGGCAGCAATTCCTCCAAATTATGAATCTTCGTGATAATCTTGGGCCAAACAAGCAAAAAGCCCAGAGCAACTGAGATCTTAATAAAAGAACAGACCATTTTAAATTCCTCTGATGCCTTCTCTGCAAGACTTGGAGCAACAGCTGCTAATGAAAGTGACAGGGCACAAAAAACTACAACTGGTTTTGCTTCTTGGAGGAAAACTTGCACCAAGACTACGTCACACCAAATTCACACCAAAACCCCACAAGTTAAAAAGTAACTTTAAACCAGGTAGCAAGGGAAGGAAAGGGAGAGCAAAGAAATCAGAGGATCCTCAATTTACTCAATCAAGCATTTCCCAGGTCTCCTGAAATAGAGCAACAAAGAATGAGGGGTTACCCAGATATCAGTGATGTTTTGCCATTTAAACTTCTTTTAGTGGCAAAAAAGCCAAGAAATCTACTTTCCCCTTTTTCTCTCCTTTCTATGCTTTGCACAATTGTGACATTGATGA